CCCTTCTTGAAGACTGGAGTGACATTTGCATGTCACTCCAAATACAACCAAAGGAGACAAAGGGTAGACAGACAAAGCTGAACTTGGGCATTAGCAGCAACCCACCAGGTACTCAACAACTCTCCAGTTCAAAATGGTACTCCCCTTACCGAACTGGGCTTTAGAAACATGAGCTTTAAATAATGAGCACCACTCCTTCAATATGAGCTGCTGGTAAGCAGACTGCCAAAACAGCCACACACTGGTGCCCAAGGGAGCCAAAACAGGCTTGAGGCAGTACTCTTACTCAGGTTCTTCTATTAACGTGCAGATGTTAGGCTATCCTAGTTTAGCTACCCAGAAGACAGAAATGACCTCGTGTGCACCAGGCTTTCAAAATGCTTTTGCCTCTATGGCAATTGTTTCATCAATCCTGTTTGGTTTGGTTTTTTTTCCCCACTGCTCTGCAGCATTGGTTTATTGGGGTTTTTTTTCTGTTGCCAAGATGCCACTTAGGTCTTTAATTACAGGTACCAGCTCACTAACAGAAATCATTAATGTTTCTTATAAAAAAGTGAATAGGGATAAGCAAGCAGCCATATTTTACTATTAATTCCTCTGGATATAGAAACCTTATCAGCAGTGCTTCTAACTGGCAAAAAGGTATACGAATGAGGTTTGAGAAAAGCTTGAGGTGGAGAAAGGCCAAAACATTTTACTTGCAAAACATGAAGGTTTGCCTTTACGTTACAGGAACAGTTCAAGCCTGATTTTCTACCCTCCTTGAGGACACTGGTCAGTATATCACTTTGCAGAGGAAGGAACCAACATTTTTGCATAACGTGAACAGTAATGTGAGAGGCTGTAGCTGAAGAAGTGAAAATACAGCCCTTAGCTACAGGAGCTGTAGATGAGTATTAAAAGGTCAAGAGTAAGTCCAAGGGCAAAGGATGCATGACAGCGAAAAGGAAGAAACGAAGAAACTGACACACTCCAAGCACCAAGTCTTCCACTGTAACTTGTATGTTCCAGCTCAACAATTATCCATTTTAGAACTGGGCTGTATAAATGCAAATAAAAGACCCAGCACATTACACAAGGAATGTCTTTAGTTCAGGTAAATACAAAATCCAGCATCCCTCTTGGAAAGAATAAATCAAGTAAGCAAGAGCAAAAGCATCACCAACCCTGCACTCCCCAGAAAAGCACAGCAGCATTGAATACTTGCGACTTCATCTCCTCTGGCCCTCTATGTTTAAACTTCACATCTGAATGCTTGTAAAATGTGCATGGTCTCCAACAGACAAGAAGAGTCTGGAAGACCAACTAAAACCCTAAGTGAAGGTCCCCTGGTGAAGGTCACTAATTATAGAACAGCATCGAGCTCTCTGGTATCATTCCCAATTTAACACCACTAATTCACATATATGTCATGCTCGCAAGTGGAGGAAATTAACCATGAGGACCTGCTGGGATTGCTCTACAGCAAGTCAGGCTGCAGCTGGTACATGGCATCTACAGAGCTGCAGCAGTACAGCTGGTTATCAGTGTTACTGCCTTGGAGGTGGAGGCTTCAGCAGGCCCCAGTTGCCAGCAAAGGCTAGCATCCACAAACAAGCTGGGTTTGCCTGATCTAACCCAGTTCTACTTATTTTTGTTCTTAAGGGGGTCACACCGATGCACAGCTTGTCAGGTCAGCACTATACGCACAGTGGTCTCACCTCGAAGGTCCCAGCTTTCAGAAGATTAACCTGGTCATGTTGGGAGAGATCTCGGAATCCTGGGATGCGCTTGGCAAACTCCACCACTTCCTTCACCGCAGGGGTAAAACTCAGGGAAAACTCTTCCCAGACTTCATGGCCAGACTTGTTTGGGTCCACGTGAGGAGTCTTACTCATTGGGCAGACCTGATGTTTACAAAACATATGCAGAAAACAACTCTTAAAGATATACTTCTAAATACTGACAAATACTTGAAAGCAGCAGGTTAATTCTTCAAGAAAACTTTGCAATAATGATGCATAGCAAGAAAAAATAAAAAAATCAGTATTCCTCAGTCAAGTCCCAAAGCAACTGAATTTCTCTCCCTCCCTTTAAAAAAAAAAAAAACAAAACAAACAGTAAACCAAACAATAAATGGACCCATGGTGGTCCATTAGCAGTCTGTTTCCAAATTTGCTGAACTTGGAAAGGCCAGCATTTTTAATAGCAAGACTTCTGAAAGAAGCCAGGTTATGCTATTTTTCCCTGATGTCACTCATGCCTGACATCTGGATTTCTCTTACTCTGTACTCTCACAATTAATGGCAATTTCACAATCAATCGATTGTAATCTCACAGTCACTACTACGTGCATTCCCATATATCTTTCTTGTTTTGCAGGCAACTGAAATGATTCAGTCAAGGTGATAAAGGTGTCAACACCAGAGCAAGGAACCAAGCCTTGGTTTCCTGAGTCACAGGTTTACACCCTCATTACCAGGACAACCTTCCTCTCCTACATGTTTGCTTTTAGTTGTATCACTGAAGGAGGACCAAGAAACTGGTATTCCAATTTTGCTCAGTCACAGGATGACAAAATGCTCTTTCTTTTATACAAACAGAGTGATTTTTTTTGTAGGAAAGTCTGAATCCATTACAATGAGATCAGATGTATCAGTCAAGGCTGACTGCCAATAAATTCCCTCTGTAAAACCCAACGAGACACTCTGATATACTTTCAGTTCTGCTTTCTAAAATTTAATTTTTTAAACGACACTTAAACCTTTTAATATTCATTTCACCTGTCAACATCAAGGATGAGAATTCCTTTAAGTATTCCTCACAAGTGCACTAAACAGTGTAAGTAATCTATGCAGGATTACCTATGTACAGTGTATGTAATCCATGTAGGATGTCAGCAAAGCAAATAGAAAACAGTGAAATAGATTAGTAATTCCTCAGAGTCATAATGCTTTTGCAGGGCATCTTGAATCTGATAATTGCCTAGCAATTCTTTGTGTGGAAGGTCCCAAGATTCATTACAAGAATATATCAACAGGTGTTAATATACATGTGTGTGTATTTATTTGGCAACAGCTAGAGAAAACAAGATGGAGATAGATAAGATACGCATTTCTGGTTAGGGGTGGGCTTTTTTTTTTCTCCAAATACCAGTTACTAACTGGGCAGTCAATATGAAGAAAGCTCTCTCCTAAAGACAAGGAACAGATTTGTAGATTTCTTGGTTCAGCTGTAAATTACAACATCATTTGTGTGTCTGAGGACAATGTCCAGAAACAAATGATTACTTGTGTGGTAAAGGAGGACCTTTTCCATGAACTGAAAATCATGAATTATTTTGGCAAAAGAAGAGGTTTAGGCACACAACCAGAAGCACAGACACTAACCACTGCTCTGTCCATGATACTGCAATGGTTCATGCAGGTATTGTTAGGAATACAATACTCACTGAAAATAAGGAATTTCTGGTTCAGCACCCCATCGTGTCTGAATCAGACACAAAAAGCACTTCAGTCTCTCATCCTACCATGGTTTGCCCTAGCCCCCAGGCACTCAGTCTTGAGGGGAAACCACCACTTTTTGCCCCAGTGTATTATGTCTAAGCTCTCTTGAGAGACCTCTGTCCAGGAGTCCTTATGGGAGGAGCTGCCAGCTTGCGCAGTCGCTACCTCTCTATAGATGAGCCTCTTCAGGAATGACCTGTTCTGCTTTTCTGGCTGTGGGGCTATTGAGTAAAAACCAAACCCCTGAACATTTGTCTCTACACTGGTTCAGAGCCTAATTACACTCCCTTAAAGCTACTGACTCATTTTGGTCAGATCCAGCTCTCATAAAGCTCTCTGGCAAAACTCTCATTCGTGTCAGGGACGCAGGAGATCCTGCAGTGCTCTGTTGGATTTGGGTTTGGTTCCTCATCGTCAGCTGCATTAAACTTCCCTGCAACTGCTATGCACAGGTCAGACCAACTGGCTGGGTCTCTGCCAGCAGTGCCACTCCCTGCCTGCCCATACTGACAGGTTTAACCTCTGCTTCTCAGGAGTGCCAAGAATGCTGCTGTAGTGACTCCACATACTTTCCCTGCAAGGAAGAAAGGTTGGGAATGATTATTATTTGCCATGGTGTAGTGCCCAGAGTCTGCGATTAAGGTCAGAGCCTGCTAGGGATGGCACGGTCCACATATGCAGTAGCCAAAGAAAAAACTGAAACAAACAAATAAACAAACAAAAAAAAGGAAATCCAGCATCAAAACAAACGGCCTTCACTGTGTGGAGACTTTCAGGGGCCTTCAAGAACCTGTGAAGAATCTTTACAAACTAGGAGGAAGAAAAACACCGGCAGCTCGAGTACTTCAGAAAGGTCAGGGACTCGCGCTTCTTGACAGAAGCACAGGATGAGAATGAGGATGTTATGTTCTCTCATCCCAGGCGGTCCCAGCGATAAAGAGAAGGACAAGCTATTTTAAGGGGCTTACAGAACCCATTGCCTGAATGGCAGAGGAACAGCAGGTGCAAGGCAAACGGGAGGGACCTGTTAAGAAAAGGAGAAAAAAAAAAGCAACCCAAAACCTATATGCAAGAAAATAGGAAGCATCCTTGTTAAGAATTCAGTGAGAAAATCCTCCAGCAAAGTCATCTAAGGTACCCAGAAGTGTGTTCAGAGCCTCACTTGTGTAAGTACTACAGAAAAGACCCTGAACTTCTCTCAAGCAGTTTAGCCATGCATCTTCCTCCTGCCCCGTTCAGACGTGAAGATGTTCTAGGGGGGAACGATGCACAGCCTGAGAGTCCCACTGAGCCTCTATTTTACACTGCTTGTAACAGAATAAGCCTATCCCCATTAAAACAAATCAAAAAACACACCACCACCAACAACAAAAAAAAACAAAACAAAAAAACCCACCCCAGCCTACCTAGCAAGAGAGATTTTTAGAATACACTAGCAAGGCATGCAAACAGACTGGCTTAAAATCTTAGCCCTAGGGTTTCACCCGAGAAATTTGCTCTGAATACCTTTAAGGGAAATACAGCATATCTGAGTGTGTAGATTATTTTAAAGTGAAGTCTTCAAGAGGATTGAGTGAAGAAGGGAATTTATAAATTCCTAACATCCATTTTCATTTGTAAGTCAAGCCAGTTGAAAAAAATCCATGTTTTCTTCAACCAATGCTCCTTGACATTAGTCTACTTTCAGTCAGCTAAAAACTGAGCCAACATACCCCATCACTTGTATGATTTCAGATCCTCCACACAACTCAAGCCATTATTCTCCATCACAATTTGTGCTATCAAACATGTCACTATTTTAAGTTTCAGCAGCTGTGCCAATGGTGTGCAGCTTCACTGACTAAAAAGGCACAGCTGGATCACACCCATCACTAACCCTTTCACTAAGTCAAATCAAACAGCTGATATCAATATACCAGATGCATTCTTCCTCCAGTGCTGCAAGAGTAAGGAGTATTCTTGTTCGGAGAAAAGCCATCTTCTGGGATCCTATCACACAGCCGCTGAGTATAACCATTGGTGAAGTTCATGCAGTGTCCCCCTGTGAAACACATGGCGTGCCCACTTGGGTAATGCATCGCACTTCTCCCTTTGTACTGTCCACCAAGGTGCTGCTCGCTTTCAGGGTACTGAGGGCCACCAAGCCCACCAATACAGTGCTCGCTGCTCAAGACGTACTGCTCAGTGTTCCTGGACACACTCTCCCCGCTCTGGGACTGCATAATCTCTGCTGGGTTTTGGGACTGTTCTTGGTTGTACATGAAAGTGTCTTTGTGGGCCCTTGTGACCATACCGATCACTTCTTCCTTTGCCATGTCAGTGCTAGGAGAGGAAGAAGGGCTTTTGATGGCTTCCCGCTCTTGCTTGGGCTTGGAGGAAAGGTCTTCTTGAGGAGCTTGATCTTGATGTTCTGTTAATGCTTCATTGGGTAAGTGACTGCTGAACTGACTGTTCATCATGGTTTTCATGGCACTCTGCATTTCAATCAGCATCCTCTGTTTTTCACGTTTGGGAATGCGGCCAAATCGAACAGCTACCAAGGTAGATAAATGAAAAGTGGTGGGAAGAGGGAGGGGAAAAAAAAAAGTCAATCCTGAAAGTGTTAGCACATACACAAAGAAAATACACACCCCAACCAAAAACCTTGCCTTTTAAGGGAAGACTTTAACTGCTCTCACCAATACTACAGCAGGGCTATTACCACTGAAGTCAATTACCACTATTCCTGGGCATAGGATAGGTGTGAGATATGCAATGTATGCTGTTGTTCACATATAAAGAGGAGGCAGCTCTAAAGCACACAATCTCTAAAGCCTTTTCCTCTTTTGCTACAAACCTGGCTATGGACTATACACACAGTTGTGCTAGTTAATTAAGTGTCAGGCTCTAAGACTGGATCAATTAAATCAGTACAACTTTGTGAGCTGACAATTAGCTGAATGTAAACACAGCTCATACCATATTTGAATAGAAGTCCTACAAGACAGCTCCTCATGGACCAATTATGTAACTTGCCAAAACAGTGCAGAGAATCAATGCCGAATGAAGCTTACCTTAGTAAATTTTCCTGATAACTTTGCTTTGACAAGGACATTTTCTGCTGGTAAGGGGATAGGCGTCATTGTGGCTGCAGCACTTTTGACCTTGTCCTTGGGAATCTACAACTGCCTCTACCACCCTGTCCGACCACAGCCTTACCAGGGCTTACAGCCAGTTTCGACTGATGAAATTATGTTCACGCAGTAGTCCATCATTAATGTAACTAAATCTCTTTCATTAAAGCAGGTGCAACCTTACACGCAAACAAGCGCCTAGGGGATGAAATAACTCCTATGCATGGCAAGAACTTGGAACAATTATTTAAAATCAGTTTTAACACTCCACCCACTAAATTATTAACAGCCCAAGATTCCTAGTTCTTGTGAAATAAACAACCAGAGTAAAATTAAAAAGTGAAACAGAAGGAAGAGTTCTGGTTTGTGACAGTAAGTTGTAGCAGACTAATGAACTGCACTTTCAGCATTACATTTTAAAAAAACAGTCACAAGGAGTGCATAGCCAGCAAGGTGGTCAGAGACACAGCTCAACATTACCCTTTCCTCCTTGCTTCCCTACTCCCTCCAAGGAAAGAAAGAAAAAAACCAAAAAGAGCAAATATATGCTCATCCCGTGCACCCAAACTTAAGGCTCTATAATGATTGAGACTATCAGCTTGGGCAGAATTCCCTTTTGTTGAAAAAGCAACAGTAACAAAGCAAAACAAAAGAAAAAGCAAACAAACAAAAAAGAGTCTTGTTCAGATTCAGGCAGGACAGAGCTATAAATATTAACTCATTAAAACAAAATTAAGACTCTTGTTACAACTGTCCCCCTAACAGACCACGGCAGCACATCTCACTGCCTCAACCTCCAGAGGCAGGAATACAGCTTTGCAGTCAGTATTGCATTACCAGTTCAGGAGAGTCACAAGAGTAAGGAGGGAAGGTGATCTAAACACCCTCAGACAGGGAACCTGGCCCTGACAATAGGCTTGGCTGTGTTCTCTGCCATGAAGACTCTCAGCAATCAGTTTTGAGGTGGGCAGCAGATTCCCTCTCAGAGGATCATTGCTTAGTAGAGGAACGTACCATCTCTTGACATCCCAACAGAGAGGCATTTTTTGAAACGACACTGCTGGCATCTGTTCCTATTCATTCTCATTATAGAGCAGTTGTTATTCTTCAAGCACTTCTTATACTGGATGTTTTGCTGAATGCTTCTTCTGAAAAAACCCTGTAAAAAAACAAAAAGCCCCCACCAACTATTATTACAGCATATGTCAAATCCTCCTGCACCCCTCTGCAAGCACAGAAAACCTCACTGCGTCTCAACAGCTGCTTCAGAGCCATGAACCCCAAGTGATTTTAAAGAACTTCCTACTTCTCATTACTTACTTCCCCTTCGTGTGTGACCTGTTTATAATGCAAACTACTTATGATTTCTAATTATAGAAGATGCTCAGTTGTTTCCTGTACAGTCAGCACCTAAGAGCAAAATATCTCCAGTATTACCTCTATCACTGTACTGACAGTTTGTAATATATGCCCTCGATCTCCTGTGACATCAAATGCACAGTCAAAAATCAGATCTCTTGACTTCAATCTACATAGTTTGGCAACAAAACCATCCTGTTGCACCATATGACCTTCAAAGGTGGTTCTTTCGCATAACCCTTAAGCTGATAAACTCCTTCACAGAACAGAACATCTGCAGTGTTACAGTATCCCAAAATACAGATCCACTGATGCACGAACACGCAAGCACCCAGTTCTGGCTTTCCCCGTAGTAAAGAATTGCTTTTCCAAAGCTGTTTTGTTCTGTGTCCCAGCCCAGGTGACAACTCACACCCACTCTCTCTTAATGCAATTAACATTCACGTGTCTTGCGTGACATGGTCCTTACCACCAGCTCTTGGTCTCTGCTGTGCACTTCACTGTGATTCACTCCAGGTCAGGCAGAACTGGGTAAGGAGCGACAGCTTGCAGAGTTTGGAAAATGTGGTATATTTCTAAGTGGTTTGCCTTTTCCTACAACCTATACACTGAAATTTCTCAGATTTAATTTTAACAGAGAAGCATATTAATACCTTCTCAGCAGTATCACCCCTTTTCCCCTATGAGGGGAACTTAAGTATTTCACCAGCGGAAAGGCAAGCAGAAATATAGCTCACCTTGCAGCCCTCACAGGCATGAACACCATAATGAAATCCTGAAGCAACATCTCCACAGACTTTGCAAAGAAGAACCATGCCATTAAATTCTAGAACCAGAACAGAAGAGTCAAGGATATAGAGAACCATTGACAATGGCAGGGACACATTTCCAGCTTTTAAAACCTGGACTAAAAGCAAAATATTTCAGTTCAACATACACAAAAAATACAGCAGAGACAAGAACATACACAAATCCTGAACAGTTCAGAAGGTACTAGTGCAAGGGAGGGGGTAGGGAGAAAGACAAACATGAAGCACTCAGCAGAATAGGGAGAAAGCATGTATTCACTGGGCTTTCAATCACAGCAGCATTGTACTCAACTGCAGAAAAAGAAAGTCTGCTTACGTTTATGCACTTTTAAAAGGACCAGTTAACTAGGCCACCAAAGTTCGGGTTCAATCTGTTTTTCCATTAGGACAAGTAAGCTCATATAAAGGCTACAGTTTCCCTAGCAGAGAATAAACATATTTTCTTAAAAGTAGAAATATTAAAGGAGACCTAATTTTATTATCTAATGTAAATAAGCCATAGACTCTACTTATTCGATAACAATTTAGGACCAGTAACTCATCGACATATACTTATGTGACAACTACTGATTTGAGTCCATATCCAGAATGGCATACTTGCACACTTGAACTTGAAAATACCTTCTTAGCCCTCCAAATATGCTCATGATTTGGGTTTTCAAGTTTTTCCCCACCTATTTTATTTCAGCTTGCCAATGAAGATTTTCTGCAAGTCCTAAGCGCTAGCCTAAGATTGGCTGCACTAAAGCCAATGGGAATTTTACCAGTGACTTCAGTAACCACAAAGTTACCTTTAACAGTGAGCAACAGAGACAGCTGGAAATAGTTCCAGAGAACCGTATTCTACCAGAAAAGTAATGTATTTGACATCTGGGTTTCATTTGTAAAGATGAACTAAAACTTTTTTTTTTTAAGGTTCTGAAAAAGAACCAAATCACAAAATTTCATTGTGGTTTTTTTTTTTAAGCTTCGTAACAATTCAAAATGATCAAACGTTTCTTACAATAGAAGAATTCAGCCTTCAAAAGACCAGTCTAAACTCCAACTGAGTGTTTGCTGAAATGCTCATCCCAGTACTCAGTTTGATTCCTGTCCTTCCAAAACTGTTCAAATACAGTTCTTTATCATTGATCTTCTCCAATTACCAAAAAAATGTGAAGCAAATAACTGGAACTAGATTGTTAAATGCATTGTGAAAGGCTATCCTTTAGCTCCAACTTACGAGTACTTCGTTTTTCACATCCACAAATTAAGACTTGGAATCAAAAAGATAAAGGTCCCTGCTACAGCTATGTAAATATAGTATCATGTTTCAGTAAATTATTTATTTTGTTCCTCAAATAAATCTGGGAGGAGGGAAGGTGCAGCAGCAGGGGAAGGACTATGGAAAAAACAGATTTGCAAAACAGCTAAATAAATACTCCTGAAGACAATTTCTGATTACTACTACCTTTACTTCACTGCATCTTTTAAACCAAGTGTTTGATTTTTATTAACATCAGTTTTCACTAGTGAAAATCTGAAGTAAAGCTGGACTGCATTTATGGACTGTTTGAAGTCAGCAGCAATAGGACCTCCATCTGTTAGCATTTGTATGGCAATACCAAATGTGTTACCATACATATAATTCAAAAAGGCCAAAAACGGAGGCTTTGCTATGTGTCTTCACACAGAAGACCTGGCTGTAGTATACAGGGTGGCAATATAGAAGGGGAAAACTGTTTTCAGGAACTGGCGCCAAACATACTTGTGACTCCATTATGGCCTTTTGTCAAACCAGCAACACTCGACTGGTTTGCTTTAATAGTTTCCTCCAGCCGATCGCTCTTCGGAGCCCCATCAGAGCCCTCACTGCTCCGGCCATTGCAGCCACTTTCCAAGGAGGAGCTGTTCGGAGAAGATGGTACAGGCGAGGAGGACGACTGGAAACCGCTGTCTGAGCTCTCGCTGTGACATGAGGCTGGGCTAGATGCCGAGCTTGAAGAGCTGATGTAAGCTATCACACCCCCTAAGGCAAGAAAAAAAACAGGCTGCATGTAGTGACATAACAAGCAGACATGCACCGCTGCCATGTGAGCCACGCCGTGACCCAGCACCGCCAGACCCAGCCACCACGTGTCCCTGGGCGCACTCCTTTCCCTCCTTCCCTCCCTCCAGCTTGCTCCTCTCCGTTCGTTTTCAAGGGCTGACCTCCCAGTCTGCCCCAGCCCCTTCTCCTGTCTTATCGGCCTCCTCTGACCCAAATTGAGAGGAAATGGCAGAACCAAAAAAAGATGGAGCAACCAGCCATGGTGCTGGCAGGATGGGGCAGCAGGCATGGGGTGGCCCAGGGAGGGTTGCCCGTCTGAAGCCACAGCAGACAGGATCTCACAGCACTGCAGAGCCAGAACACAAACAAGCTAGGTTAGGGACAGAAATAGGGCAGAGAGAAAGACTTCATGCAGGCTACGCGCCAGAGGCACAGAAAGGAAGGGCTGGGAGGTGCTCGTGATGCAGAGGGAAGGGGGACAAGGGAAAGAAATAGCACTGCAGCCTGGTTAGCCTACTGAATGCCATTTGTCCGACTGCGAGCCTTTGCAGCATTTCTAGCAGCAGCTACACTCCAACTGCCAGGCTGCTATTTGCCAACAGTCTCTGTCCTGCCATGTCCTACAACCCGACACACTGGAGAAACCCTCAGATGAAAGAGCTTTCTGTCCCTGGGCAGACCTGGGAGCACTTCTGCCTTTTTATAGGCTCCGGATTTTCTTCCTTGCTTGTAAGCAAGAGAAATTGTTTTCACTTCATTTGAGTTTGCCTCCAAGACTCAGCATTTCAAAAAAATCAATGTAAGAACATTTGGTATTTCACACAAGAATTTCACCAGCAAAAGCCTCGTTTAAATAAATTACACTCAGCATCTTCTATGTTTTATGCCTGTATTGCTCTGCAAAGTCTCTTCACATTCACTGCAGCAAGGAACTCCACACACCAGTCAGATTTAAAAAGTTTGAAACAGCCATGCACTGGCTTCCTTTTGAGGAAAAATGCTTTGGTGTCTGTAGCATCCTCTATATACTGACCTGGCATGGCAGGTCAGGGCTGCAGTCCCTGACATCAGCCATCGCCCTCCTCGCAGATGCAGGCAGGCTGCTATGCCTATTAGACAGTGGTGTTATACAACCCTGCAAATATCACTGCTTGCGGGTAGAAATTCTGACTTACAGATTTTCATTACTTTGATCAGCTGCTACGGCCCTCTTAGCATTTCTGGGGCAGCTTCACCAGCCCATTTCCTCTTCAAGTTTTTTCTACCAAGGAAACCACCACCACCACCCTGACAAGCGAGCGTGCAGCCAAGGAGCTCCTGGCAAAGCCTCCGCGGAGCAGAAGTCAGACCAAGAGGTCGATGTGACACGTGCACGACACGCAGACTGCCGCTCACGTTCCCGGGCACCCGTGCCCCTATGCCCCACCACAGAGGTCATTCCTGCACAGATTTTGTTTGGTTGGTTGGCTGGCTTGGTTTTTTTTTTAAGAAATAATTCATGTAGCATAGCATGCATCCAGGATCAAGTTTATTGGAGAAAGGAGGGCTACAACAGACAGGCAGGTCCCACAATAGCAAGAGACAAAAAAATGACACTGTCAGTCACCTGCGCCACTGTGAGACACCACCTACTTGACAAAGGTCCTGCTGTCCCCTGGGGTGGCACACGCCTCTGCCAGGTGCCAGATCAAAGCTCACAGTCCACCTGGTCCAAGGAAGGCACCAGGTTCCTCGACAGGCACCATCCTTATCTGCCAGGGGCACGCAAACGTGGCCCCCCCCACAAAGGAACTCCACATTGCCCCATGCCACCACCTCACCCTGCTATCTTCAAACCCTGCCTCATGAAGAAGGAAATGCTCCTGTCCATCAAGAGGGACCAACATCCTAAGGGAGCAAGGAAGGAGCATGAGGTGTTTTTTTTACCCCACGTGGGCTTTTTTTACCCCTATGGGGTTTTTCTGCTCCTTGTCTTTGGAAAACCTGAGGAGCCCCAGAGAGCTGGCAGCTTTCAGCTTGGCAGCCTTCTCTGTGTCGCAGCTGAGGTTCCCAATATTTCTGTTATTTTAGAAGTTGCATTTCCCCATAAATCCTGTTTTTTCGTTTGCTCATCTGTTAGAAGTTGAACCTCACACAGAGCACGGGGCAGCAACTCGAAACAAAGAGCCCAGCCATGTCACTCTCCGTGCGGGCACCCCCACCTCCCGGCTCCCCGATGCTCGGTGGGTGAGGCAGACCGGGGTCGCTAAACGGGAGGCGCTCGGTGCCGGGGGGTAACCCAAACGGGGACGCATTAAGTTGTAATGACGCAGAGGCGCGAAGGAGGCGGCCAACCGGCTCCGTGATTCACTGCTCCGCCC